GCTGCTGCTGCTGCTGCTGCTGCTGCTGCTGCTGCTGCTGCTGCTGCTGGTGATGGTGATGGTGATGGTGATGGGGGTGGTGTTAGAGGCTGCTGGTATTCTGCTGCTGCTGAGGGTTTGTTTGGGGTGTATGTACACCTGGATGGAGCGAAGAGCAGCAAGCTGCTGCGGCCAGGAGAAGCAGCAGATAACTCTCTTTTGCTGCTGCAGCTCCTGCTGCAGCTGCTGCTGCAGCTGCTGCTGCAGCAGGAAGCTGAATCTGTATCGACAGGGGAGGGGTTGCTGGTTAAGCCCTGTACACCAGAAGATATATACGAGTCGCATGCATACTCATTATATATTTCACCTTCATACTCTTGCTGCTGCTGCTGCTGCTGCTGCTGCTGCTGCTGCTGTTGTTGCTGCTGCTGCTGCTGCTGCGGCGGCGGGTGGAGAGGGAATGTCAGAGATTGGGGGGGAGTGGCAGAGTCGTGGTGCTGCTGACGATGATGGCGATGCTGCTGCTGCTGCTGCTGCAGCTGCAGCAGCTGTTTATAACGATAGTATTGTTGCTCGTGGTAGTGCTGCTCCTGTTCTTCTTGCTGCTGCTGCTGCTGCTGCTGCTGCTGCTGCTGCTGCTGATGCTGCTGCTGCTGTTGCTGATGCAGTTGCTGCTGATGTCTATAACGGTAATATTGCTGCTGATGATGATGGTAATCGTCCTCCTGCTGCTGCGGGTACTGATGATGCTGCTGCTGCTGCTGCTGCTGCTGCTGCTGCTCCTGCTGCCGCTTTTGCTGCTGGTGGCGATGATACTGCTGCTGATGATGATCCATTTGCATATCGATAATAAGTGAGTTGCAAGCTGTAGTTTTTTTTGTTTTTTTTTTTTGCTTTCTCTGCTGTATTGGTCTGGTGTATAGACAGATAGCGGCTCGTTGGTTTCGTCTTCAACGTAAATATGTGAATATTTCACTTATAAAAGATTCTCTCAATCTATTAAACATTAAAAAACAAAAAATAAAATAAAATAAAGAAAAATAAAGACGAAAGTTCATCTCTGTTTCGCTGCTTTCCTGCATAGTTGAATGGTCGTGAGCCACCGGTCGGCGGCAGTTAGAGGGTAACGAGAGGTTTCAAAGAAAAAAAAGAAAAAAAAGAAATAAAATATATATTTTTATAAATTATTTTCATGTTTTTTTATGCAGAAGGATATATATTTCTCCAAGTTGAACGCCACCGTCGGCGACGCGCCACCGCGGTCAGCGCACGAGGTGTATATACACCTGAAAAAAAAACAGAGTTTCTGTGTTCTAGCGGCTGTATTGATGAATTATATTTAAATTTATTTAATTATTTTCTAATAAATTATATTTATTTATAAATTTTTTTATATTTAGCTGAGCTGTACATACACCGCACGCAACACTCTAAACAGCCCCCCACACAAGGGGGGCCCCTCCTCTCTCGATCACCACCTTCTGCAGCAACAGAATCCTTCTCTTCTTCTTTTTTTTTTTTTTATTTATTTTAATATTATTTATTTATTTATTTTTTGTTTTCTTTTCTTTAAATATATATTAATATCGTTTAAAATAAAAAAAAACAAAAACATTAATACCAGTTTAGCCAGGTGTGTATAAGCGCAGCCGCCGCCGTTTCTTTTTCTTTTTTTATTTTTACTTTTCTTCTTCTCTTTATTTATTTTTATTTATTTTAATTTATTTTAATTTATTTTAATCTATTTTAATTTATTTTAATTTATTTTAATTTATTTTAATTTATTTTAATTTATTTTAATTTATTTTAATTTATTTTTATTTTTATTTTTAGTTAATAATATAATAAATGTAACAAACCCTAAACCCTCATATCTCTCTAAGAGCGGTGTACAGACAGCTGAAGTAACCCTAAACCCTAAACCCTAAACCCTAAACCCTAAAAATACAAGATAGATAGAAGTTACATTTCTTAGCTGAACGGAGACAGACAAAAAAAAGGAACAAAAAAACTCCGTCGTTTGCATCTGCTGCTATTCTTTCTGCTGCTGTTGCTGCTACTGTTGCTGCTGCTGCTGCTGCTTCCGCAGCAGCAGCAGCAGCATCTGCATGCATTCTCACATCGATGCAGCAGCAGCAGCAGCAACAGCAGCAACAGCAGCAGCAGCAGCAGCAGCAGCTTATAGCTGCTGAGCAGGAGTAACAGTAACTGCAATGGGTGTGGGTTGAGGGGGCATGAGCATTTTCTGCTGCTGCTGCTGCTGCTGCTGCTGCTGCTGCTGCTGCTGCTGCTGGTTATGTTCTTGCTGCATCTGCTGCAGCTGCTGCAGCATCTCAATTGGTATTCTGCTTTGATAGAGAACAACAAAAACTCCTTTTTGTTTCATTTTATTTAAAAAAGAAGAATTTAATTTATTTAATTTATCCACTA